ATTCAGTGCCATCCTTTGAGATAAATTCTTCTCGGGGGAGGGAACTTTATTTCTAATGTGGAATTCTAAAGCCAATGAAACTTTCAATGACCAGAGACTAAATATATTTTCAGAGATATATAATCTCAAGAGTATATTCAACCAGAAAGAAGAAATACATTTATAAAAAAACAGAATACAAAGAATCAAAAGAGGAGAAAAACATAATAAATTTTCAGAATGGTCAGAGAAATTCCCAAATGACAGGTATACAGACAATCTGGAGTGCCTTACTGATGGAAGAGTTGACTTTGAGTCATAGAAAGCCCGCAGGATTGTGCAGAATTGTCCCATAGGATTTCCAAGCATAAAGAAAAGAGTGCCTCATCTTTCTCCCGTATAAGAGCTGGTGGGTTGAACTCACCAACTATTCAGTTAGCAGCCATGTGCTTTAACTACTGTACCACCTGGGCTCCTCCCTAGAGAGTAACCTACCCATATTTGCAAATGGCAAGCTATCAAAAAGATGGCCAGGGCAGGTGGGGGGGGTGGGAGATGAAAAAAGAAATGAATAGATTTGCGGACATCCATCTGAATGCTGACAGAAGACTTCTATTTATGTCAGAAAATGTATAATGAATTACATTTAAAACAAATAAAATGAGTTACTAGTTTTCGAGAAAGCACAAAGTTATATAAAAAACGAGTTTGATCACAGTTTTATTATCTGACTCAAGTGTGAAATGATAATGCCTAAGACCAGCAGGATGAAAGGATGGAAATTGTATGTGAGGGAGAAGAGCTCTCATGTTGCACAGTAGCAAGTCTTTAGCTAATAGTTAAAACTGGAAATCAAGAAATAGAATAATGTTATTTAAAAATTTGGGGTGAATCTCAAAATAAATATTTAATAATATTGAAATGACTGCTTCATAGAATAATTTACAAGGTGGGGCTGGTGGCCACTGCTTTTCCTTTTGAGACTTCGTAGAACCATTTTTATTTTCTGTATTACAAACAGCCATCCAGGAGAGATAAATGAGCTTGGGGCAGAATGTAAATCAACTATGTCACTAAGCACATTGTTTAGTTCAACTGACAGTTTTACTTAACAAAACTTCCTGATGAAACACAGTGCTGACTGACATTCTGCTGCCAGCTCATCATCTCCACACGGATCAGCTCTTTGAGTAGCACTGGTTACACACGAGGCTGCTAGCCACAGGGTCAGCAGTTTGAACCCCCCCAGCAGCTCAGTGGGCTAAATGAGGCCCGGCTGCTCTTGTGTGACTGATCATTGTGGAAATCCGAAAGGAAGGGTCGCTGTAAGTCAGAAGGTATTGATGGCAGAGGGTGGGTGGGCACCAGAGGCTGATTGCTCCTAGGGCTGTATCCTCCAAATAAATTAGAATGATAAAGTCGTAATGCCCTGTTTTCTAGTTCTTATATTGTGTATTGCTCAAAGTAGATTATGAACATATTATAACCCTCACTTGAAAGAAGTGTTTTAATGCAACACAATTTCACAAACCCCATGGAATAGATTTCCATTAGCAGTGTTTGGTAAAAGTGCACCACTTCTTGAAACGTAATCAACTTTCAGCAGCCCAGCCAATGAAGCAGCAAATTGCCATACTGCCGCAATTCTCCATTTCTTCTAAGTCCCCAGACTAAACTTGCAATCTTCAAATCCTTACTGTGGAAACTATTCTCTCCAACCTTTAATTTCTTTTTAGGGTATTAAGTGATGGCAACAATGCCCCTGACATAAAAACTGAGCCACAGGAATTAGTTAAACTTGGCCTTGGAGTGGTTAAAAATTCTCATAATCATACACATAGGAATTTCTTTAATGGGGTTCTAACAAAACGGACAACTTAGACATTGATACATATGATAGTGTTCTTAACTAAGAAACTAGAGCTACTTTGTTTTGTGCTCGGAGAAATAAAGTAGCAGCTGGTTATGAGTCAGAATTGACTGGATGGCAGTGAGAGCCACCTTAGTGGTTATACGCTGGGCTGCGAGGTGAACAGTTCAAAACCACCACTCCATGGGACGGAGAAGTGGCTTACTACTCCGGAAGAGATTACAGTCTTGAAAACTCCCAGAGGTAGTTCTACCCTATACTATAGGGTTGCTATGAGTCAGAATCCACTCAATAATGGCAGTGAGTTTGAAGATTTGTTTGTTTGTTTTAATTTTTTCACTAAACCAAAAGTAAAAAACATGTTTGGCATTTCTCAAGTTGAAAGAACTGATGGAAAAAATTGAAGCCTTGAGTTGCAATAATCAAGGATCCTATTGGCAAAATACTGAACGGCACAGGAAGCTTCAAAAGAAGATGGAAGGAATATAGAGAATCATTATACCAAATACAACTGGTTAATGTTCAACCATTTAAAAAGGTAGCATATGACCAAGAATTGACAATACTGAAGAAAAAAGTCCAAGCTACACTACAGCACTAGTAAAAAAACAAAACTCCAGAAATCAACAGAACACCAGTCAAGATATTTCAACAAATGAATGCAATGCTGGAAGCACTCACTCATCTATGCCAAGAAACTGGGAAGACAATGGCCTGGCCAGCTGACTGGAAGCAACCCATGTGTATGCTCACTGCAAAGAAAGGTGATCCAGCATAACGCAGACATTATTTTAAAATACCATTAATATTACACTGTAAAATTGTGAAGATCATTCAAAAATAGTCACAGCAGAGCACTGACAGGGAAGTGCCAGAAATTCAAGCCAGAGTCAGAAGAGGCTGCAGAAAGGGATATCATTGTTAATGCCAGATGAATCTTGGCTGAAAGCAGAGAATATCAGAAATATCTCTACTAGTCCAGCTATGCAAAGATATTTGAATGTGTGGGTCATAATAAATTATGGGTAACAAACAAAAATTGCAAATAATGGGAATTCCAGAGCCCTTAATTGTGCTCATGGAGAACCTGTTCACAGACTATAAGGCAGTTGTTAGAACACAACAAGGAGATGTACTTTGTGGTTTAAATTAGGGAAGGAGCTTGTCAGGGCTGTATCCTCTCAGCATAATTTTTCAAACTACATGTTGAGCAATCGATCCAAGAAGCTGGACTATGTGAAGAATGCAGCAACAGGTCTAGAGGAAGACTTAATAACAACCTGGAAAAGGCAGATGACATACCTCACTTGCTGAATGCAAAGACAACTTGAAGGACTTACTGATGAAGATCAGAGACTACAGTATTCAGTGTAGATTACACTTTAACATTTAAAAAAAAGAAAAGAAAATTCTCAGAACTGAAGCAGTAAGCAGCATCAGGAGAAGCAGAGAAAAGAGTGAAATTAAGAATTTCATTTGCCATGATCCACAATCAAGGCCCATGGAAGCAGCAATGACGAAACCAAACAATGCATTGTATTGGGAAAATCTGCTACAAAAAAAATCTCTTTAAAGTGTTAGATCTCTTAAAAGTTGTCACCTTGAGGATTACAGTGTGCCTGATCAAGCCATGATAGTTCCAACAGCCCGCGAGCATGCAAACAATGGACCGGGGCTCCGGAAGAGCACAGACGAATCGATGTCTTCGCATTACGGTAGTGGGAAAGAATACTGCACAGATCTGTCTTGGCAGAAGTACAACCAGAATGTTCCCTAGAAGGAAAGATGGCGAGACTTTGTTTCATGTCCTCTGGACATGTTATTAGGAGGGACCAGTCCCTGGAGAAGGACATCATGCTAGGTAAAATTAAGGGTCACGGAAAAAGAGAAAGCCCCTAATGCGATGGACTGACAGAGTGGCTGCACCAATGGGCTCAGACACAGCAGGGATTGTGAGGATGTGCAGGACCAGGCAGTGTTTCCTCCTCTTGCACACAGGGACAGATTTGATGGCACTTAACAACACCTTCTGACACATTCCCACAAGACATTGTTGTTCTAGCAGAATCGTCAGAATTATGATGAAAGACAATACAGAACCTGAATTAGTACACAAATGTTTTTTTAAACAAAGTTTTACTTAAAAGGAAAATAGCAAAAAATTGAGTAAATCAACTGTTTTACCTCTTTATGCTTCATATCCAACTGACTCCTAAGAGTCTTAAGTTCCTGCTCACGGATGTCCAAGCAAGTTTCTAGAGCATGTGTCTGACCTTCCCATTCAGATTTTTTATGAGCCACCATTATGTCAATCTGTTTCATGAGCTCCTGAAGTTCTGCTTCACAGGATGTCAAAAATCCCCTATAAATAAGACAGAAGGTTAGGAACATATAACTAGAATAGAACACAGAACATCTAACTAGATAGCTTTTCATCCTCCATCTGTAAAAACAAATCAAAATGTAAATCTTCCTAAAGTAGAACAATCTCAATAAATAAATTAATGAAAGTAGACAATGGGTTTTCTGAGTTTTGGTTTTTTATACTCATATATCAAGATGATAGCGTATTGCAAAGAAACCTTGGTGGAGCAATGGTTATGCATTAGGCTGTTAACTGCAAGGTCAGCAGTTCGAAGCCATAACCTGTTCCAAGGGAGAAAGATGAAACTTTCTACTCCTGCAGAGAGAGTTACAGTGTCAGAAACCTACAGGGGCAATTCTACTCCCCCTATGAGGTCTCTGTAAGTTGGAACCGATTCAATGGCAGGGAGTTTGAGTTTGCGTTTTGAGAGGTCAACCTGAAGACTACGTCATGTGGTCAAACACAAGCTTGATGTTTTAATTCTGGCTTGTGGAGTGAGACTTCCACATTCAACAACTCACTCTTTAGTAGTATTTCCCAGACGCTTGCAAGAAAAGTGCAGGCAAGTCCACAATTTGCATTCTTATCTAGACAAAATAAAAAGGCTAGAAGCTATCAAAATACCTGCCAGGGAGGTAATAATATACTTTTAAGAGCTATTTCAAGAAATTCACCCTTGGGCCAGATTTATTTCAGCTACGTCTTCCCACCTTACTATTAATTTACCACAGTCTACCTTGCTATAGGAAATGATGTCCTCCCAAGTTTCAGGAGATTCATGATAATGCAGCAGCTTGTAGTAGAGAGGGGCTTGGACAAAGAGGCAAGCATCACAGGTATGCTTGATTCAGAGGGCCCAGGCAGTGGCCACAGAGAGCTGTCACTTCTCAAATGCAAATGCTTTTTGAAAATAAATGGCACCAGGATTGGAGCCTAATGTCAGAAAAAAAAAAAACTCTGTACTTTTCCCTTTCCCAACTAAAAAAACTCAAGCTGGGGTGAAGACAAGCATTCAGCTTCACATTTCTGAGGTGAGGCACAAACCCCAGGAGAGCCACTGTCTACAGCACTTCGGTACCCACCACCCAGTATCACCAGAAGCCTAACTCGGATATGCCTTTTAAAATGCATTGCAAAGCTTAGGGTCAGAAGTGAACTTACCCGCCATGTCCCCGAGTTTGCATTCCTTCCAACAAAGCCTCCATTTCCAAATCCCCTTTGCAACTGGGAAAGCAAAAAAATCAAAGTGAGGAAAAAATTCATTTTTAATGTTCTAACATCCAAGTAACAACTTAAGAATGTGAATGAAAATGTATAAATGACAAGAAAAAGCAGCAATTTTCAAAATGAGTGCAGAAGCTGCCAAGAACGATCACTTTAGGAAATGTTAGATTTTAGACTCAAAATGAAACAACTTAAATCATTGAATTACTAGTCACAGCTCCCCCACCTGCCTGATTGCCCAGTTTCTAAGGAGATGGTGGGCCGGGGTGGATGGAGAGGTCCTTTCTAGCAAAGGGCCACAGGCACAGAGCCATTTAAACAAATGGGAGGATGAAATCGGGACTCATACTAGTCAAGGGGAAATGTATCTGGTGTGTGCATGTATGTTTAAGAGACATTATACTAATCTAATCAGTTGTGTATGCTTAAGAGATATTATACTCATACTACTCTACGCGTGGTAGTAGAACTCTCAGTCTATCACTAAGACCCTACTTGGCCTTGAGGTGAGAGACCCGGGCAGCTTCTTGCAGGACCTCCCTCCCCTGCGCTGCACAGCTCCGAGATGGCCAGCAAGGGCAGTCAGACTTGATCTCACTTAACTTGGACACGCTGTCAGGAAAGACCAGTCCCTGGAGAAGGATGCCACGTTTGGTTAAAGTAGAGGGGCAGTGAAAAAGAGGAAGACCCTCACGGAAATGGGCTGACACAGTTGAGGCAACAACGGGCTCGGCACAGTAACAATTGTGAGGCTGAAGCAGGGCCGAGCAGTGTTTAGTTCTGCTGTGCAAAGGGTCCCTGAAAATCAGATCCAGTTCTGTGGCACATGATGATGACAACGGGCCCCAGCGGGTTCTCTCACAGAGGGTATCCCTCACTGGCTGGGTGATTTCCACACGCCGTAGGGGGTTACTCAGTAGGCTGCCAACTGCAAGGCCAGCAGTTCACAACCACCAGCTGCTCCTTGGGAGAAAGCTGTAGTCTTGGAAACCCACAGGGGCAGTTTCACCCAGTTGGTTATCGACTCGTTGGCAGTGAGTTTGGTTTTGAAAGCTCACAGCTCAGAAAACCAAGAGCTCCGCATAATCACTTTAACTAAGTGGTTGCTGGGCGCCTGTGGGCCTTCACTTTTATCCCATTTCCATGCACAGTGCACAGAGCTGGAGGACCGTGGGGAGGGCGGGAGAAGGGCCGCCAGGGAAGGCAACAGCTCTCTAGGAAGAAAGGACAGTGAGAATGAGAGAAGAAAGGACTTTCAGTTCACAAATGCAAAGGAGCTCCTGTGACTGTGAGCGTTTGAGTTTTCTCACTTGTAATCACAAAGTCTCGAAATGTCCATTAATGACAAAGCACTTTCCATTCCCTAGAAACTGCTCCTTCTCCTCTGAACCAGACTTTAAGGGATAACTGAAAACATAGAGGCCCTGCCCCTGTGTCCTAGGGTCTCACTGAAAACTTCTACTGCAAAAAATGAAGAGAAATTCTACTGCTTTAAGAAGTGAATTCCTTACCCCAAAACTACTGCTCTGAGATCATCAGTAAACCCTAAACCAGAAATATCCCCTGAAGGCTCTTAAAACAAAACCATGGTTTAGCACAACTAGTGACGAATGTCACTTAAGCAATGTCCTGCAAAACTATCTGAACTGGACCAAAGTGACAGCAACCCTAAGATGAGATGGGACCTCAGGGCACCCGGTCTGCGTCCATGAAGGAGGAACAATTTGGAAAAGGAGGCTGTGGACTGTTGCACACTTTAAGAATGTAATCATTGTCACAAGGAGCCCTGGGATCTGCAGGTCAACAGTTCAAAACCACCATTCCGAGCTGCCGGAGCAAGACCGGGCTTTCTACTCCTGTTACCGGTTACAGTCTCAGAAACCCACAGGGGCAGTTCTACCCGAGTCATCACTGACTCGATGGCACCGAGGGAGCCGCTGGAACTAAACTGTCCATCACCACACCTACTTCTGTGTTTTCTCAGCAGCAACAGAACGTTTGAGTTTTGGACCATCTCTTTAGTTGATAAAACTTTGTTTTTGTCTCTTAAATTTTTTGACATTTTTGGTTTAAGGTTTAAAATTTATCCCAGCGCAACAGTTTCCAGGGTAGGAGTTCACTTTAAAATTTTTTAAATATAAACAATAGATACTATGACGCTGAAGAAAATTTGGCTAAGAAGGTTAAGTAACTTGTCTATAGTTACACAGTAGCAGTCTCAGAATATGAACCTAGGCAGTTTGACTCCAGAGTCTCAAAGTCCCAACCACTGTGTAATCTTAACATATTTTAAAAATACTCCAGATCTTAAACATATCAGCTTATCTCCTTTGGCAATAGACAAATTAAAATAAATATGGACAAAGGAAAAAATAAAAGCAAACTGAAGTCTGACATCACTACCTGGGCCATAAGGTGGCAGCGGTAAAACTAAGTCCACGTTGTATGAAAGCTGCCAGTTCAGAAACAAACAGAGGACTAAGACAAAAAGATTGCTGTTGGGGATGGAGAGAAGTAGTAAAAACAGATCAGCAACATTCTTTCTCTTACCACCCACTCCTCCACCCTCAAGTCTAAGATGACACATTAAAAATAAAGGTAGTTAAATAAAAGCATTCTGTGCTAATGGATTAGAAGATTTAATATCATTAAGATAGCAATACTACCTAAAACAATATAGATTCAATAGAATGCCTACCAAAATTTCAGTAGGCTTCTTTACAGCTAATCCTCAAGTCTATACAGAATAGTAATGGGTCCAGAACAACAAAAACAATCTTGAAAAAGAGGAATAAAGTAGAATAAAGTAGAACAAAATGTCCAATAGCATTAGTCTTTAACCCACTGCCATCGAGTCTATTTTAACTCATAGTGACCCGAAAGGGCTGGGCAGAACTGCTTCCCAGGGTTTCTGAAATTATGAATTCTTTACAGGAGCAGAAAGTCTTATCTTTCTCCTTGAGAGCAGCTAGTGGGTTTGAACTGCTGACCTTGCAATTACCAGCTCAAGGCATAACCAATTAAGCCACTAGGACTCCTTATCTTAGTACTTAGGGAAATGCAAATCTAAACCATGAGGAAATCCAGATTTACTGGACCTACTGAGGCTGGAAGACTCCTCCCAGACTGTGGTTCTAAGGCTAAATGAATAGAGATCAGACAACTAAAACAAAAACAATGAGAATACTGATACAACGTGAAGGATATAATCAATGTCACTAATGTCTCGAAATTGGAACAGGTTTTGCTATATTTTCACCAAAAATTAAATTAAATTAAAAAAAATACAAAGCACCAACGATTTATCAAAAAGAAAGAGTAATAGCAACAACTAAAAATTACATGCGGTTACATGTGTATGTATGTATGTATACAAGTAGATAAGCATGCATATGTGTGGGTAAATGGGTACATATACAAGGGGATACAAAAAAACGGGAAAAAAACTCTGCTAATATGAGGGGGTGTAGTAGGTACATAATCTGTTGTCTATTTGAGTGAAAGGGTGGAGTTTAGCCTGTAAATTAGGTCGCAGCTTGATGACCTCATTTGGAGGCTCTACAGAGATAAAAAGAGCTTGCTGGAGGCGGATACACATCACTCCCTGCGAGACATTACTGATGATGAGTCTGATGGAGCTTCGCTAATGCAGCCAGAGCCCTGGGAGATGGAGGAGCCACATGGAAACCCCTGCCAGCACTGAGATGCTTCTGCCACCACTGGATCCAGACTTTCCACCCATTGCCTGTGATCTTCCTGCATTTGGCGGCATTGCATGTGTTTCGTGAGTCTGAAGAGGAATTTATATATTGGTATCAGAGATATGGGCTAATAGACTTAAGGCCTTGGACGAGACTGAGCTGGGATGTTTTCTCCATATTTAATTGAGAATATAAAGCTCTTTCTTATACACATATGAATGTCTCTGGTTTTGTTTCTCTAATCAACCCAGACTAACACGGGGTGTGTGGTGTGTGTGTGGGTGGGTGGGTGGGGCGGGGAATAGTGCATTTGGAGTTCATTCCACCAGGTCAGACTGTTAATCAAGCTTTCTATTTAGAGATTCTACAAAGATTGCATAACAGTGTGTGACAAAAAAAGGCCTGATTTGTGGCAGAGTTTTTCCCATAGTGCTGTCATTGTAAGCTGTGTTCAAGTTTCTTCGACATTTCCCCCCCAGCAGGAAACAAAATTTCACACCCACAAGCTGTTCTCTTAAATCAGCCATCACAAAAAACGAGGTTCCAGCCAAACTGCTTTTACAAGAAAATTCATTGTACCAGAGAGCCTTTCCAGGTGAAGCCACTGGGTGCACTAACTCAGAGCAAGTTGCTTGATGCTCGCCTAATGGGAAAAGTACATACTATGAAAGCTCTGCCCAGTGGAGCTTTTTCCTGTATTGGGGGGGGGGGGGGGGGGGGGGGGGGGGGGGTTGTACATGCTCATAGATTTACATCCACAGTAAAGTCCATAGGTGGCATAACTATGGATACTGCTTAGACTTAACTAGTCAGATCACAGGATTGGTTTATAAGTTATGAAAGCTTAGGACCATAGTCTCATGGGACAATTAAATCAAGTGACATTATGTGCTACATAAAGTTGATGTTCTACATCCTAGTTTGGTGAGTAGCACCTGTGCTCCTAAAAGCTCACGCATGGCCTTACAAGTATAGGTTCTACCCATCATGAGTAAAAAGGAAAGGAAACTACAGATTGAGACAAAACTAGTCTATAAGACAAACAGTCTACATAAACCACAGCCTTGTTCACCTGCAATCAGACTAGATGGTTCCTGGCGTCCACTACCGACCATCTCTGATCAGGGGCACAATACATGGATCCTGAGAGAACAGAACTCAACCTATTAAAAGTCCAGATTTGCTGGACTGGTTGAGACTGTGACAACCTGAGCCTCCTACCCTGACACAATCCTTAACCCTTGAACCATGAAACCACGAACGCTAGCTATCTCATGAGGTCATCCTTTAGCTAACTAACAGATTAGGTCATAAATTATATCAACCCTGAAAAATGTGCTCTTTTAAAAAAATCATCTACTTGACACCACGCATTTATCCTAAAGTCAAGATGAAACAGAAGGCATGGAGGCAGGGAAACTCGATTACCAGGGCTGAAACAGAACTGCCCAAACAGAATGATGAGAAAGTGGACATACTGTGGAAAAGGTAAGCAATGTCACTGAACAAACTGTACAGAAACTGCTAAATTGGAACTAAAATTGTATGAATTTTCACAGAAAATATATTTTTTAAGAAAACAGCATATTTGATGTACCACCTACTCTAACTTTAAGAGATTAGTAATTAAAATGGTAATACACACAGACAGATAGGTACACAAACACACAATAAGATACCACTTCACATTCTCTGAGATGGTTATTATAGGGTATAAAAAAAAGGGAAAGAGCAAGTGTTAGTGGGTACCTGGAGAAATTGGAACACTCATCCATTGTTGGTAAGAGTATAAAATGATGCAGCTATGTACAACAGTTTGCTGTTATTTGAAAAATTTAAAACATAGAACTGCCTTACAGTCCAGCAATGCCTTTATAACCCAAAGAATTACAAGTAAAGAGAGAAGGAGATACCTACACATCGATGTTCGTTGCATTAGTCATGCAAGCCAGAAGAAGGAGACAACTTACGTGGCTACCAACAAATAAATGGAAAAGTAAAATGCAGAACATCCATACAGTATACTATTACTCAGTCCAACAGATAAATGGAAGTCTGATAAATGCTACAACGGGGATGAACCTTGAAAACATTATGCTTACTAAAATAAATCAGAGGCAGGAGAGAAAATATTGTACAATCCCACTCGTATAAAAGATTCAGAATCAGGTAGTGCATAGGGACCAGAGTCCATTAGCAACAGCCTGCAAGTCAGAGTGCAGGCAGGAGGGAGAATAATGCTTGACCAGTGCAGAGTTTTTGTTAAGGGTGATGAAACCTTTAGAAACAACAGATCATGGTGATAGTGGTACAACACGGTGAATGTAGTTAATGTCACTAAATAATACACATAGAGATGGTAGAAGTCTTTTGCTACAATATTTCACCACATTAAAAATTGAAAAAGAAAAAATAGTTTACAGCCACATCACAGCCCAGGACAAAGCTGCAGTTCATAAACGCTCCGAGTTTTAAATAGCCACCAAACACCACCCATCTTATCCCTTGGGGCCGGGAAGCAGCGCGTTTGGGCTCGGAGGCCTCAGGTTCTGGAGCCCTGTCATGGGGCTCCTCGTGGTCTTATCGCCAGTTTGTTTCCCAGCCAGCCTGACCCTTACTCGGCTCTGCACTGTGCCACCTGGCTTTCAGCTTTTCCTGGGCCGCGTGAAAAACAATTATGCAAACTGGTATTTTCTTTGTTAATAATATTAGATAGAAATGTGAGTAAACAAAACAGATTTCACAAGCTGTCACTTGTTAATGTGATTAACTGGCTATGATGGGTGCAGGTAATCTAAGTCATTTCTGCAGTTTGACCAAGACAGTCATACTCTGTAATAAAAATTCTTCCCTGGAATGGATGCTGCTTTACTTCAGTAGATTATGAAATAGTACAGCTGAAAGAAAAACAGGCTTTTCCACAAGGTTTGTGGAACAAGGAAAACACTTTAAGAATTAAGAACAAAATAACTTATGTGAGCTGCCTGATACTAGGTAAACCTTTTAAATGTATTAACATATTATCATTCAAAAACTAGAAAGGACTGAAAGTTATCATTCAATTTCTTCAGGAAAAAATACACAGAGAATATACCTAACATCACATGAGTCATAAAATGGAGCACAGGAATAAAAATAAATACTCAAGATAGAATCAGGAGAAAATGCATAGTATGAGAAGGAACATGCTGAACCTTTAAGCTAGAGGATGAGTCTGTTTTAAAGGAGGATGACAGTCCACTACACTGATAAACTCTGACTGTTCTAAGGAGCTACCATTATTATTTACCCTTTCCCAGAAAGACTCCTACCTAAATTTGAGAAGACAAATCAGTAGCAAAGATATCAGAGAAATTTTAATCTAATTTTTTAAAACTTGCCCAAACTATGGGTGAAAATCCAGCATAAAACAGAGAAAACGCTGACACAAGGTAAAGAAGGGCACCAACAAAGCTCACCGACCAATGGGAGCACCTGACAGCGTTGTCAGCCATAAAGGAGCAGCAGCGGCCTGGCGGTTGCGCTGCTAACCACAGGGGCAGAAGGCAAGCCCAGCAGCTGCACTGAGGGAGAAAATGAGACTCTGCTCCCACAGAGACGTACAGGCCTGGAAACCCAAAGGGCAGGTCTGCTCTGTCCTATAGGGCACCACGATTCAGAACTGACTCAATGACAATATGCTCTTAAGAAATCACACATAAAAGGGTGACTATCCAAATAGAAGATGAGCTACTTTTCAATTTGAGGGGGGAAATCTATTTTACAAATGGGCAAGAAGTTTAAACACGCAGTTTAACAAAAAGGAACAACTATTAATGTGAGAAGATGGTCAGCATTACTCATAATGATTAAAATTGGAATTACACTGAAGAACCTTTTCTTCTGTGTTTGATTAAGGAAACACAGTATGTTTGGTAACAATATTCTGATGGCAAAGCAATGGGGAAGATAACATCACTACAACTTGGGAGTAGAAATGCAAAATGGTGCCAGTCCTACAGCGGAGATTTGGGCAGTACCTGAAAATCCACTGCTGTGAGTCGATTCTGACTCGAGAGGCCCCACAGAACAGTGGCACTGCCCCTTATGGTTCTAAGGCTGTCCTGTTTATAGAAACAGACAGAAAGCCACATCTTTCTTTGCAGAGTGGCTGCTGGGGTCACGGAGCTAGCTGGCCTTGTGGTTAGCAGCCGAGCATCCACCAGGGCTCCTTTGGCAATACCTTGCAGTTAATATATGCACTTACTCTTTGATCCAACATTGCAATTTCTAGGAAACTATCCCAAAGATGCCTTGGAAAAAGTACAAAGTGGCATTCACACAAGGATATTCACCGTCACACTCTTTGTCGTGGCAGGAAACAACAGAAGCGTCTACCAATCGGGGACTAACTGCATATTGAGAGACCAGTGCATAGGACAGACAGGGCCTAGAGGTGCATCATGCTGTGGTGCATGGGGATGCTGTGAGGCAGGGGCCAACCCCATGGCAGTTGATCACGCAAGAGCAGGGTTCTACAGGGGAAAAAAGATCTCTGGGAGTGTAGTGGGTTATTACACTTTGGGCATGCTAACCACCAGGTCAGTGACTCAAAACTACCAATTTCTCTGAGAGAGAAAGATGAGGCTTTCTGCTTCTATGATGATTTACAGCCTTGGTTTCCCAAGGGCAGTTCTACTCTGTCCTACAGGTCACTGTAAGTCAGAATTTATTTTTTGTACGTGCAAAAAGCAAGATTCAAAACATTATATGAAATACCACCTTTTGTATATATTTGCATCTAGGTGCATCCGTTTGTATAGAGAGAGAAGTCCCAAACTAGGAGAAATGACTACTCACACAGAGGGAAGACAAACAAGCTGGGGAAAGAGCAAAGAAAGCTGCACTCATCTGGATGGACCTTAGTTTACAGGCATTCGTTTTACATGAAGGCCCCTGGGTAGCACAAATGGTTTGCCCTCCACCACTAGCCTGTGGCTGGCACTGCAAACCCACCTGGCAGCACTGCAGAAGAAAAGCCAGGTGCTGTGCTTCCATAAAGATGGCAGTCAAGAAAACCCCGTGAACAGCTCTAAACTGTCACTTATGGGCTTGCAGTTAGCTGGAATCAACGAGGCAGCAGCAGGTTTGGAGGCGGCGGGCTGTTTTTTGTTGTTGATATTGTTTTTCAGAGGAGACACCACTCAATGACAGTGAGTTTGGTTTATTTTAATGTATACATTTAACAATTTTTTAAAAACAATTTTAATAATACTGAAAACCTTTAAACAAATTAAATAAATAAATCAACTAGATACCATGTTGGCAGCCTACCATATAAATTATTTCATATGCCTTTAAAACAAAATGCTTTTACTATACATATCCCTAGGGGGTGAAAACTGCAGATGAGAAAGAACTGCAAAGAAATCCTAAATAATAATTATATTACTAAAAACATTGGTATTAATTTGAAGTCATTACACATAATCTAGGGTAAGGCAAAAAGAGTAATTATATTAATGGCATCAGGTACCAAGGTTTTCAGCAAGATAAAAAAAGCCAAACACATTAAAACAACTTATAAAATTACTTTTATATTGGAAATATCATTATGGACGCTGCATACTTCTGGTCTTGCTCTGGCCGCCATCAATCAAGAAACCAATGAGCAGCTTGGAAATACACACTCCCACTCACAGGGCTCCTTCGGAGGCCAGAAATATACACATGTCCAGGAATGTATTCTAGCAGAGAGCAAATTATCGAATACTGTTGGAGCCATGGCAAAAGGAGTAGGAACAAACTTGAAATCGCATTGTCAAAAAGAATGAGGATAGCAACAGGTTGAAACAGTTAAAATATAATCAAGTCTAAGGGCTTATGATGATAAGAAAAACAAAACAGAACCTGCCGTTACCTTTGGCGGTTGGTAGAGCACCGACTCATGACTGTAGTCTGAAAATAGAGGGAAAGAAGTAAGCATTTTTCTTGCCTTTCCTGTCCAACTGTATTTTAGTGTGATGGAGAAAGTTCTGGTAAGAAGAGTTCTTCTTTGTAAAGAGTTTCCAGCTAATAAATACAGAAGGAAGGAAGGAATGAGTGACAGAGCCATCACTGTGCAGCCCCCAGAGCCCCAGAGGTGCTGTGGTTAAAAGTGTGCCTGCCCCTTCAAGGCTGGCAATCTGAACTCACCAGCTGCTCCCCAGGACGAGATGCGTCTGCTTCCCGAAAGATGACATGCTCGAAAACCCTACGGGGTTGTTTTACGCTGTCCTATAAAGTTGCTGTGAGTCACAATCCACTCAATAACAATGGGTAATGCACAACACCGACTCCTTACTTATTGACTGTCTCATTCTCTGAGAGGAAATTAAGTAATTACACTAATGGCGTTAGAAACCAATACTCTGACATGCATTTTGCATGAGTGATATACCTCTGGCAAGAACAAACACTGGAGGTGAGAGTCAAAAGTTAATTCTGGCTGTGGTGGTTAAGGCTGTGTCACCTTAGCTGCGCTGTGATTCTGAGCGGCCGAAAGCTATGTAACGATGTAGTCATCTTCCATTTTCACATTAACAACAATTTTTGCAATAATGACCTGGTCTTTAGAACTTAAGCATGTCAGTAAGTGAGGAGTAATATGAGTAATACTTCTCCCACCACTTCAGAGTTGGCTGTCTCATGGCAACACTATAGGGCAGAGTAGAACTACCCACCTTGCCCCCCGCCCCAAACACACAAACATTGTTATCAAGTCAACCCTGACTTATAGTAACAGGGAAGTTTCCTTTCAAGGTTTCTGAGGCTGTCAATCTTTGCAGTGGCAGAAAACCAAATTTTTCTCCCAAGGAGGAATAGGAACACTCGAACTCCTGACTTTGTAGTTAACTGCCCAAAGTGTAGCTCACTATGCCACCAGGGCTCCTTAATCATGGGTACAGGAAATCTAAACCCACAGAAAGATGTCAACAATAGGTGAAAGGCTCATGGGGAGCTTTTTTGATGGATGGATTGGGCTAACAACATCTGAACCTAATGCTCAGTAACATCACAGAGCTCCCAGAGACATGATTTGCCTCCTTGATAATGATGCAATAGCCAGTATACTGCAACACCTATGAAATATTCTTGCAATATTTGAATATTCACCAAAAAAAGTCAAAGTTGAATATGATCAAGATTTTAGATAAGTGCTTTTCAACAGAAATCACAGATTTCAACAGAAATCTTCAAATGTTAGCCACTGGCAGCACGGTGGGTTATACGCTGGGATGCTAACCTCAAGGTAAGCAGTTCAAAACCACCAGCTGCTCCATGGAGAAAGATGAGTTCTACTCATGCAACCAGGTAGAGTCTGGGAAACCCACAGGGGCAGCTCTACCCTCATTTTGAGTGAGAACTGACTCACTGGCAGTGAGAGCCATATATGGCTACTGAGTACTTAAAAGCATTTTCAATGTCTTAAATGTGATATAAAAACTACCACATAGGGCAGTGCAATCCTAGATCTAACTAATGGTGTAGAGGAAACGCAATGGATAGAGGTGCTTGTTAGAGAATACCATGCAGACACAATCAGCTAAAGCTAGAATGGCAACCAAGAAAGGGGGAAAAGATTGATAAAAAGTGTATCAACCAAATGTAACATGTGGATAGACCTTCATATGATTTTCATCCAAATAATTATAAAAACACTAATGGGAGAGTCGGAGAAAGCTAAACCTTCCTTGGATAATGACACTTCAGAGCTCATTTTTATAGGTGTGATGACAGCTGTGTGATTTTATAAAACTGAAAAAGAACCCCTTCTTCTTAGAGGGGACAGAACTACCGGTAGATAAAAATCAGAGCACTAATGCCTGAAATCTTCAGTCTATGCATTGACAGAACTGCAGATCTACATTGAAAACAAAGTCCGCTCTACAGAGTGGATACTGTTGCCACGGCATAAGCCACCGCCATATCACCTGTGCTTGGGAAGGACGATGCAAAGGTCCACTACCTCGCTAGCAGAGGAAAACAGCAGTAGTGTACGTAATTTGTATAATTACTACAAATGATTCTTAAATCTGGATCTACATTGTTTTAAAGGGCAGTGTCAGCCTGGAAGTTTATAAAATTTTAACTCATCTTAGTTTGTAGTCTTTTTCATTATAACTACCTGATAATGACACAATTCAAAGGCAAGTAGCAGGAGGGTGGGGGAAGGAGGGAAAAAAGAGGAGCTGATACCAAGGGCTCAAATATAAAGTAAATGTTTAGAAAATTATGATGGCAACATATTTACAAATATGCTTGATACAACTGATGGATTGCTATAAAAGCTGCAAGAGTCCAAATAAAAAGATCTTTAAAAAATTAAATAAAAAGGAACCCATCACATGGTTCGATATATAGCCACCCCTCAGGGGGACGAGTAACAGAAATGTGGGTGAAGGGAGACAATGGATAGTGTAAGACACAAAATAACAATAATATATAATTGATCAAGGATTCACGAAGTTAGGAGGGTGGGGGAGGGAGGGGGTAAAAAAGAGGAGCTGATACCAAGGGCTCAAGTAGAAAGAAACTGTTTTGGAAATGTTGATAGCAACAGATGTACAAGTGTGCTTAATACAATTGAACGATAGATTATCATAAGATTTGTAAGAGCCCCCAATAAAACTATTAATAAAAAATTTAAATATAAAAGGTAAGTAGCAAGTAGGTTTTAGAAACAAAAGGAACTGATACTAAAGAATAATTCTTTTCAATCCTTTTGAATTCTGGATAAAAATTAATCTGAAGATAATATTATATTCCAAGTAAGATAGTACATAGTCCATTACACAACTGTATGGACTCTGAGTGATGCAAAGGTTCACATGCTGGGCTGTTAGCCAAAAAGTTGGACATTCACTCAGGGGTAACATGGAAGAGAGGCCTGGTGATCTGTTTCACAAAAAAAACACCACTGAAAACTTGGTGATCAGTTCTACTCCAACACACATGGGGTGGCCCTGATTTGAGATGAACTGATAGTAACTTTTCATGCGTCTTAAGTACAAATGTGGCACTGCCGTTAAGCGTTGGGCTGCTAACTCCAAGATTCACGGTTCAAACACGCCAGCCGCTGCACAAGATGAGGCTCTCTGCTCCCATAGACCGCCTCAGAAACCCTATGTCGGGTGACTGTGAGCAGGGGTGGGCTTGGCAGTAAGGCGGGTGTTTACTGTAAGGGCAAATATAAATACTCAATATTTAGTTGATGATCCTTCTGGTTTCCTCCGAGAAACAAACGCTAGCATGAGCATCTGTGAGGAGCTCTATTGTTCTTCAAGACTCGGTTTAGGGAATCATCCCATGCAAAAAGTAACGCTCAGGGAAAACTGCTTTGTGCAAGTGTATTCAACTGTCATTATCAAAGGCCTGCCACCCTTAGCTTTACTCTCCTGGATGTTACAGGAACCTAAGACAAAAGCAAACATAGCGCGCCCAGATTTACTGTCTTTACATATTTTCACTATTAAGGGTGTTCCTTTGGAGTTGCCATTTTTACACCTGATGAGTTTTAAAATGCAGCCACGTGCACGCATGGAGCAATCCATTCAGGGTTCCTCAACTTCACCATTTGGGGCACACTCCCATACTTCCTGCACGAAATCGCACCATTCTTAAACCTGCTTTTTTCTTTTTTTCAATTTTGTGAAATAGCAACCCATGCACGAGGCAGCATCCCCTGCAATACGTCAAGCAATCTAAGAGCGAGGTTGTGCTGGCGGGGCCCGCCGGGGAAGAAGGGACCAGGGGGCAGCTCGCCCTCCCCGCGGGCCGCCCCAAGCACCCTGCCCTCCGCCCGGCTGGGGTCGGGGCTGACCACCTTGTGGGGCCGAGCCGCGCGCCGGGCGGAGCCATGTCCGCCTTCCCGGGTCCGCAGGGAGCTTGCCGCGAAGCCGAGGGGCGGGGCGCAGGAGCGGACCGGAACCGGCGGAGGCGGGCTGGGTGACTGGCGGACGGCTTCGGGGACCAGCCCCGGGCCATGAGGCCGCGCGGCGGGCCGCAACACCGCCGCCAGGGCCGCCTCCAGACGAGCCCGCCCCTCATCCGACACGACGCGTGCACGGGCGGTTACTTGGGGTACAGCGAGCGCGCCCCCGAGCCTTCCCGCCGTTACCTGGGGCCGGGGACGCGCACGCGCGCCACGCCAGCCTTACGTCCAGCCTGCGTCGTCGGCACGTTCGTTCCGCCCACTGCCCGCTCACGTTTCATTGAAACGTCCACTCGAGACCTCCCCTCCGAACACGCAAATGGACTCACCCACATCCGGGAAGCCCGAGCGGGCGGGCTCGTACCGCAGAGGGTGTGGATTTCCCGCGCTCCTTATCCAGCTCTTGGAGCAGCAGGAAGGGGGTCGTGCTTTGCGTTGGGTTACCTCCCCCCTCCCCAATGGCCGAAGCCCATGAGCTTTGTCCGCGCAGGATCCCTGCCCGTGCTGCACCACTTACTGGGTGCACTTACTGGGTGGAAAGCGGCGCGCGCACCGACCCGCAGTTCCACCACCCCCCCGCCCGCCCTCTGCATTTGGTATATTCCGCCTCGGGCCGGAAGCCGCTACGGTTCGCACGCCACACGTTGCGGACGGTGGTGGCCTGCGAGGGTCAATTTTTCCCAGGGCCGAGACTTCTCTGCTTCATTCTAGAAATACACTTTTATTGAACTGTAAAGACCAAAGATGGATAGAACGTGTGCCTCCTTCAGGGAACGCGCGCGCACCAGGTCTTGGTAGACACATTTAACGGCACCTACAGTGACAAGCCCTCTAACTGGACCGTTCACTGCGCCCTGGAGATGCTGAGCATCCGGGAGACTGGCGGCGCCTCCAGAGCCGTTGTTTTTAGCCGGAAGATGGGAGAAAAAGCCTCCCAGAGATTGGGGCTAGCACATTTGTAAGCACAAAGATGTTGAGGGAGAAACTCACCCCACCCCGAAAATCGCTGGGCACTCGGTCCAGCTTAGCCAGTGCTCTGGACAGTGGCAGGATCCTAAAACCCAAGCCACACCAGGTGTCTTCCTGTCAGTACGACTCATCGCCACCCTATAGGGCAGTTTCCGAGGCTGTAATCTTTCGGAAGCAGGAAGCCACATTCTCCGCCAGGGCCAGTGGGGAGCATGAGCCGCCTGGTACTTTGGGTGACAGTTGAGCTCCTTTGCCACTGCACCACCAGGGCTCTTGGGGTGGCGTGAGGCCACTTTTGGTTAGCAGCCTAACACCTAAGACGCGATGATCTGAATTATCTTTAGAAAAGTCAGCACCTACATGGGCCTGGAAAAAACCCCAGCAGATTGGAATCTGGAGAGTGTGAGAGGGGAGTGGTGGGGCACTGCATGGAAGGAGCTCATGGGGACAGGGATTCCACAAGTCTTAAGTGGAACAGAGTAAAAATACCTGTGTGTAAACTTTCTAAACACCGGATCCACTTGATTTGCAGCATCCACTGGGCAGTGTATGGAAATGATTCTTGAGTGCAGTATTCAGACCTCCTGCAATTGGTTTCTTGGTGGCAAAAGTAGCTGAGCACCTTTTGCTTCAGTTTTGCCTGGATCCTTATGGGAGTGAAAAACTTACCCCACCCCGACCTATGTAACTATTGTTCCAATGTTAGGTCTATGACGCAGTTAAATAGTAGGGAGCTGTATGAAGGAATTGAATTGCACCCCCAAAGATTGTTCCTGTGTGAGTCTCCCTTGTCCCAGAAAATAAATAGGATATCTAGAGAGCCATTGCTGTCCGTAGCCACTAGGCCTTTGGGGTGGTGACTTTGCAGTAGGGTGCTTTGGAGAATGGTGCCCACAATGAGGCAACACTTGGAACCTGGGAGCCTTTTTGGAATAGATTGAAAGTATGCTCAAGTAGTAACTTCACCACTTGAGCCAGATGATTCAAGGGAAAGCAGCAGTAAGACTCCAGGGAAGGAACCCCAAGGCGGAGCAGGAAAGGGGCTGGTCAGCATGGGGTCCTGCTGACATCTCTCTGCTTGGGGATTGTGTCAAACCTGCTGTTTGTCACTGTGTGTAACTCAGGTCACTTCTCCCTTTGACTCCGGTACCTTAGAAGTGCCAAGGTTG